TGCCAGATGATCTTCTCAAGTGCTTCCGCGGTTCTTGACTGGGCTATGGTTGCAGTAACATTTTTGTCGGGAAGCCGAAATCTGTAGGATGATTTTTTTTCCGGGGTATGCCACTTCAGAGGGGTAGGTAAGGGTCTCTAGAGGACGATTTGAGAACTTGGCCGTCCCGAAACTGTGCACCTACACCGATGCGAGTAGGTTTGTTCGCCCGTCGAACACTATTTTCGTTGACGTGATTTCACAGTTTTTGCGCCGTTCAACGCTTGAAAATGGGGAAAAACAGCAGGTTTCTCTGACGTAACCAGACGTTTTCATGCGAATGACTCAATTTTGCTCGATTTTCAAGACAAACACAAAGAAACACGAAGCGAAACGTAAAGTCACTCAGTCGATGAACAATTTATTTGTGTCGTTGTGAGTTCTGAATTGAAGTAACATAGCTGGTTCGAGTTCCTTGGAGGAGGACGTGACTGGTGTTCCTGAGATTGTCGGGCGTAGCGGCTAAAATTAATGACTTGCCATTTGACCCTGATGGCGACAGGCAGGTTCTGTAGAAACTGTCCGTCTCCACCGAGGTGACTCTGGATTGGTTTTACAAATAGTGTTTTGTAGCTTGATCATCACTACAAACGATTTCATGCAAGTTAATGAGCGAACGGACAGCGTGTGTTAACGGTGGTAAGGTACACACCATGGCAGCTGCCTTGAACGGAATCTTTGATTATAATACCAGTGAACGTAGAAATTCAAAGGATCAGTCGGGGAAGCGAATTGCCTGAAAAGTAGTGCTGAAACGATTACGTTTTTTCCTTAGTGGCTTAGCTGATACCATAACGATCGGCTTATCGGCTAAACGATTATTATTGTAACTACATCAGTACAGTCATGTGCATTCTGTGAGTTTCAAAACATTTACGAGTCCAACATCGCCAACGACGGAAAGCGGCCCCATAGATCAGATGATCCCGCAACAAGCCCGTCAGTTGTTCGGACTGACCAGACGATTACGGACCAGACAGAGGCGACGCACTGGTTGCAACCCAAGAGCTGATGGTGCCCTTCGCCTGTGACTTCGCTGAGTCCGACGATGAAGTCAGAGAAGCCGGCCAGGGGTGCAGATCGGCGGATTTCGACGGATGAGCTGACTAGAGGCGCGCCAACAAGTAACTAGTTGCTTTTCCTGTCTATGCTCTAAATATTAATTGGACCAGACGCCAGGCCTAGCTCGTCGTCGACCAAACTGGTTCGGGAACCGTCGATAGAACGGAAAACATGAAACTGAAAACCACTTTACTGTCTTTGGCTCAAGACAACTCGCACGCGGAGAGAACTCCAGCACCTGCAGCTAGTGTAGACACATACTGAGCCGGCCAGACCTGCATGCTGTATGTAAGAAAAGTAGTCAGCTAAAAATATGGCAACATAACACTATTATTAACAGTGATCGCGTCGATGTTTCTCAGATCGCGCTTGTACTTACACGTACGTCGACGTTGCAAGTGTACAGTCATGTACCATCGTGTCGTACTCGCAACACTTTCGGTGCATGCACGCTTTGTGCGACCCCCAAAAGGGAGAAAATCCCATACCGAGCGTCAGTACCATTCTACTCGTTTAGCCGATAAAATCGAAATAACCGTTCGATCTATTTCTTATTGAGTAAGTAACGAGTAATCGATATAATCGTTTCAGCACTACTGAAAAGAGAAAAAAATTCGACATATCCAGCAATAGAAGTGCATGACTTATATTGAATAACGTCTCTTTGAATCATTGTTTTGTTGAAGTTTCTTATGCTGCATAATGACATGCGTACGGGGAAGCATTCACATTGTAGAAGATCATGGGATGATTATTTCCCTACTTCATTCAGCCTTTCAGCCTCACACCTATCTGCACTTTTAAGCACAGCTGCCTTCGTGATCTCAGCAGATATGCCCGCGACAGGAAACAATGGAGTAGCATTCGCTCAGCCATTCAGTCTAGTACTGCTGTTCTTGAATTTGACCTTTATTACAAGACTCTTCTTTTCTTTTTCATTTCGTTTTCCCACTCTCACACACACGCATGCTCCCAGTCAATTCTGCCGTCGTGAGTCCAGTGCTGCCAAACCGTCAGATTTTTCGGACAGTGTCCGATTTTTGAAGGCTCTTCCGAAAACCGGTCCGAAAAAGGTGAATGCTCTGTCGCAGCTGTTTGCGCATCGGAGCTTCAAGCTTCGATATAACAGTTTATCACTCCCTTAGTATTGACTCACATAGATTTTTGCCATCCCTAAGCAGTCAAATATTCCTGCATATTTCATTCCTTAGGGCTATATTGACTGCTTATATTTGACTGCTTAGGGGTTGCGCAGTTGAACGGTGCCTAGTGGCAGTGCTGCATTGTCACTGCATGAGTAGGTGGTGGTGCAACGGTTGTGCAATCATAAAACCGGGATTCATGAGGTTATCATTCTGGAATTTGAAATACGGACTGTTTGTCGTGATAAATCTAATATGGACTTCGTACTTGGTCAGTATAGGAAATAAAAACCTCGTAAAAGACCTCGGCTTCGCCTCGGTCTTTTACTCGGCTTTTATTCCCGTAGCTATGCAGAAGACGTTACTTCAGTAACGCCTGGCGCTAGCCAGGGTCCACACAGCTTTAATTTGGTGTTTGTGTGTTTGTTTGTTTGTGTCACGGCTGGAGCTGTCCCGTATCTGTGACTACAAAGGCTCTACAGGATTGTACATAACAGCTGTCCACAATATTTGCGGGCTCCTGTATCTGTCCCGTACCGTACCAATATTCGTCGTATTATGTATACGACTCCCTGATGTAGAGGGAGATTTGGAAAGAAATAGGGAGACGAGGAGGAAATTAAATTAGAATAGACGCCGAATAGGTGATAGGATGCGTCCGCATTAACATACATGTACTTTGGAAGAGAGATCCCGTCGTCTCCAAAATAAGCGTGAACGAGCGATTCAGCGCCGGTCACAGGAAATGTCGGAAGAGAGATCCCGTCGACTCCAGAACCCCCGTGATCGGCAGAGTCCGTCGGTCCCAGGCAACGTCAGGACAGACATCCCGTTGTCAATGGCTCATGACATTTTCCATGCTGCCTTACAAGTCAGAAGTGACATCAAAGCTATCTCCCCCATCCTGCCTGACATTCCACACGCATCTGACCTCACTGAGGAGAATGCCAGTCGGTGCGTGCCAGATAGTCTTTACAACTTCCTGGCATGGGTGCTTGGTGTGGGAGACATCGAGGATTGTGACAGTGTGGTGAAAAGAGCTAAGCTGGATGCGCCTAAGAGAGCCTAGGTCTTGTCTCTTGGGCAAGATATTGTGTATGCCGCGACAAGAGGCCGCATCATAACACCTAAGAGTGTTGCTCTTCCTATGACAGTCCGCCACCTGACCAGAAGCCAGCAGTTAGTGACTACACTTAATCGTTTCGGACACGGTGTTTCCGACACTAAGCTCTCTGAGATCGAGACCTCGCTGGCAAAAGAGGCATTGGACACCGACGTGTTTGTGCCCAGCGTTATTGACCCGACAAAGAATGTTTTCTTTTTGTTGGGACAACAATGACCTTTGCGAGGAAACGGTTACCGGAGAAGGCACAACACACTGCACCAACGGCATTGTCCTTCAAAGGCAGCACGAATCTTCTACACCAGCATCCACCAATCCGCCGGCAACATCTGCATCTACAGCCCCTACTACACGCAGCAAGAGGGCAGCAAGGTCACTACCTGCACCACCACCAGCAGAGTATGAGTATGTGTCTGGACCGAGAAGAGAGCCACCCCAGCTTCCAGCACTGGACCCAGCACCATCCTCATCGAGCCACATAGGTGCACAAACTGACATGTTATGGGTATTGCTGCGCAATTGTCCTGCAGTGCCAGATGCATCATCAGAGCAATCAGACGAGGCTCAACAAACAGTGCCCAGCTGGTCAGGATTCAACTCTATGATTAGTACGTCACCAAAGTCCACAGCTGTTGGCTACTTGCCCGTCATTCCAGCACCTCCAACAGATATTGGCGTAGTGCTGGAGGTGTTGAAGCGGTCTTCAGCAATATCGCGCCAGCTTAACCAGCAGCACTGCATAATCACTGCTGATCAAGCTGTATATGCCAAGGGCTTGGAAGTGCTGTGGAAGCAGAAAGATGCTTTTCCAGATGTGGTGCTTCGACTAGGTGCATTCCACACCACCTGCTCTTTTCTGTCTGTCATTGGCAAGCGCTTTGCAGAAGCTGGCCTCACTGATCTGCTAACTATGACAGGCATCGTTAGTCTACAGTCTGTCAAGGGTGTAGTCAGTGGAAAGCACTACAATCGTGCCATACGTGTGCACAAGTTGCTGTATGAAGCATTGACACGGCTGAATTTACAGCACCTGAATAAGTCGCTCTCCAGTGATGATGCTGTCGAATGGGACAGACTTTCAGCTGTGCTCCGGAAAGTGCAAGAGACGAAGGCGACTGCAACAGTTTCCAGCATAGTGAACAGCAACGACTTTAGCCGCTTGTCCAGTCGTCTTGAGAAGCACTCTACTGATTTGCGCAAAGCCTCGCCCATGGCGGCCCTTTGGCTCTCATACTTGGATATGGTCCAGCTTCTTCTCCTGTTCCTCCGTGCGACGAGGACACAAGACTGGAGCCTTCACCTGGCCTGCATTCGCCGCATGCTGCCATGGTTCTATGCTTACAACCACACAAATTATGCGCGCTATGGCACCTATTACTGGGCCGACATGTCCACACTCTCTACAAGGAATCCTTCTGCCCATGAAGCACTTCAGTCCGGAGACTTCTGTGTCGCAAGGTCGGAACGGCACTTTGCACAAGTCCCAGTGGATCAAGCTATTGAGCAGACTCTGAACCGTGCTAGTAAGACTATGGGTGGTATTGTCGGGTTCAGCCGCAATCCTGGTGCTGTCCATCGCTGGATATTAACCATCCATGAGCGTTCGGCAACTGTAAGAGCGTGTCATGATTTGGCCAGAATGGACGAGGGTGTTGCGTTTGGAGATGTGTCGCGCCACCCAGACGAAGCAGTGGCCAGCATCTCCTGAGACGAGAAAGCTGTGGTAAAGATCGTCAACCAGCTACTGGATTGGGGCAGTCCATTCGATGGCAAGGAGCTGGTGAGCCTCTCAACAAGAACGGTGTGCACGCCAGCTGCTCAAACAGAGTTGTTGCAGGCCCAGGCAAAAGGAGAAGTAGCCTTCCAGCTGTTTCTCAAAGAGCGCCTACAGTCTACCAAAGCCAGTTTCTTTGACCGGATTCCAGCAAGGAAGCTGCCTTCATTCACAGACAGCAAGAAGAAGGCAAAGTCCACTTCCAAGTTCGAAGCCGTGAAAGCTGACCGCCAGCTGTTCACACAGCTCCTCATAATGGCAAAGAATCGCACATTTGACGTGCGAACGTTAGTGCAATATGAGCTCGGGCCTGTTCCGTGGGCAATAGCCACTGTTGATGGCGGGATGGTTTCAACGCAGAAGTCCAAGTTGCTACATGCACTGGGGAAAGACAGTGCACTACGAGATCACCCGCCAGCTGGCTGCTGTGTTGTGATTGACGCAATGGCACTTCTTCAAGCCACGCCTTCCCCACCTCCGACATTCGGTGCACTCAGTGACCAGATCTTCCGGCAGCTGTTGGCAAACATGGTCAGAAGCAATGCGTCACGTGTAGACTTTGTAACTGACCGGTACTGGGACATCTCCATCAAACAGCTCGAACGCCAGAAGAGAACTGGGCAACAAGATCCACTGGTGATTCGAGCAGAGCGTCGTGACCAGGCCACACCAAAGGAATGGAAGCGGTACTTGTCCAACGGTACAAACAAGACGAATTTGGTTCAGTTCCTTGCCACAGATTGGAAAACATCAGAGCACTTTGTGTCCTTGTTGGGAACCGAGAAGCAAGTCATCATTACAGTTGGCACCACTTGCATTCAGCTTGCTGCACCATCGTTAACAGCAACATGTCTTCGTGCAACCGAGATACCAGAGCTATCCTGCACTCATGAGGAAGCAGACACAAGGCTACTGCTTCACTCAGCCCATGCAACATCTCATGGTTTCCAGTCAGCACTCATATGTTCACCCGACACAGACGTTGCAGTCATAGCCATTGGTTTGTCCACGTCTATCAATGGCCAGCTCGTCTTCAAGACTGGTTCCGCGAAGAAGCCTGAGCTAGTTGACATCAGTGCCCTCTCTGCAAAGCTTGGTCCAGCTGCTTCTGAAGCACTTATTGGCCTGCATGCTTTCACCGGATGCGATAGCGTTAGCGCTTTCTCAGGGAAAGGGAAGAAGGCCGCTCTGGAATTGATCAAGAAAGACTGTGCGCAGGCAGAGGCGATGGCTGAGTTGGGCAAGAGTTTCAATGTGGACGAACGACTGCAAGGGCTGTGTGAGGTGTTCTTGGCCAGATTGTATGGATGTGCAAGCTTGTCAAATATCAATGACGTACGTTTCGAGCTGCTGCGCAACAACTCCAGTACACCACAGAATATGCCACCATCACGAGATGCATTGCGGAAGCATGTCCTGCGAGCAAACTACCAAGCAGTAGTGTGGCGATTGGCTTTACAGCCATCACCCGAGATCCCCAGCCCCGACGGGAATGGATGGAGAGTATCAGATCAAGGTGAGACGAGAAGCATTGCTCCGCATGATGTGTATTCTTTTCTAGGACACTGTAATGCCAATGAACTTATTGCATTGAAACAATCAACACAACGAACACGCTGTGCACAAATTTATCCTAATAAATGCCTTGTGAAAATCACCATCATTTTTGTTACCAGGTTTTGGTGATCTACATGTATGTTGTCTACTCCTCTGCTGAACTGTAGGTGGCTTGTCTATAGTGTGGATGGAGCAGCAAGCAGCCCCCCAAGATATACTGAAGTTAGTTTCATGCAAGTGCCAGACTGGCTGCTCAACACGACGGTGCTCATGTCGAAGTCAGACCCTATCCTGTACCGACATTTGCCAATGCAAAGGATGCAAGAATTCATTCGGTACACCATCCGTCCCTGGACAAGCGACACTACCTCAAGAACTAGCGGTGCCAGAAGAATCAGAAGCAGCACCTGCACCACCACCTGCTGCACTGGCTGCTGAAGCAGAGGTATACAATCATGTACTAATTTAGGTTAATTGAAATATTTAGCTTTTCTTGTTTGGCATGTTCCTTGGATATTGTGCGTGTGAGTATAGGTGTCAGCGCGCATGTGTGCATGTGTGGTTAGGTGCGTGTGTGTGTGTGTGTGTGTGTGTGTGTGTGTGTGTGTGTCTGTTTTGCATGCATGGGTGTGTTTGTAAAAGAAGTCACGTGCTGCAGTACTGGCCGGTAATATTCATCTGTTTGTTCAATGCAGGACTTCATCAATTTACCCATTGACGCGCCAGAAGAATCAGAGGCAGCATCTGCGCCACCACCTGCTACACTGGCTGCTGAAGCAGAGGTATACAATCACATACTAATTTAGGTTAATTAGAAGATCTAGCCTCTCTTGTTTGGCATGTTCCTTGCATATTGTGCGTGCGAGTACGGGTGTCCGCGCGAATGTGTGTACGTACTTGTGTGTGTGTGTGTGTGTGTCTGTCTGTTTTGCATGCATGGGTGTGTTTGTAAAAGAAGTCACGTGCTGCAGTACTGGCCGGTAATATTCATCTGTTTGTTCAATGCAGGACCTCACCAATTTACCCACTGACGAGCCATCCTCAAGCAGTGATGATTCTGATCCTTCAGAGTATGCCACCGAAGATCAAGAAGACTCAGACCCCCAATCGGATTTTGATTAGGAAGGTACGGCAAGTTTTCTACTTTTGATGCGTGCTGTTTTCTCGGCAGTGAAAAAGATTAATTAAAAGGCATAGGGTAGTGAGCAGATAAGTAACAAGAGACTGAAGAGGGTGTGTTTGTTGAATATTTAGAGCCTCATTACATACAGGTTTTAAAGAAATATGCCTCTGGTCATTCTGTCTTGCTTAGATGCGATGGAAGTGTATGCGGCATACAGCTCTTGGGATGGAAGACAAGAAATCATGATGCGAGCACGTCTGATAATAATTATTATGCTCTCATGTGTCTTCTAGCATGGGATCAACTGTGCGCTTTTAGTTTTTTTACCCTACTTGTATACCTTACCCGACAGTAACCATAATTATTGGCTTACAAAGCATTTCTTTCTTTAGATAGATTATTATTTTTTATTATTACAGGCTTTTCCACGTGGGCATCGTGTATGCAAATGCAGGGGCATTCCAACATGAAGTTGTATGCATGCTATTTACCACGGAAATGAGCAGCGATACATGATATTACATACAGCTGATATATATATTATGCATCTTGCTCTGTTTTGTACTATAGACTACCAAAAAGGAGAGTGTAGTGAGCACACATACTCCAAAATTATTTATTTATTTCTAAGTTCTAGCCTTTATGATCGTGCACTCATCACATTATTGTTATCTAGATAATCAAGATTCCATAACCAGTTACAGTTCGTGATGAGCTCTTTCAGTCTCATTACCAGCCACTCTTTTTTAGTCTTATTTCCCTCGAATTCAGTATAGCATCTACCTGATTCGTTACAAATTTACCATGATTCATAATTAATTGTGAATGCAATTAGAGCTGTGATATGAGAACATTCATACAATGTTCAAACTACTTCATACTGTGCAATACTATGTTCAGCAACGATGAACAGCTTACTTGCTTCTGAAGTGTGATCCAGATTGCCTCGGGCTGTCCAGTAACATTGAAAGTAGTGTAGTAGAAAACTACTGCTAGTAAACGCTACTTCCTGAGTTCTCAAAACAACCTCGAAGTAGCTACTACTAAATTCGTTCCCTATCGATTCGTACTGGTACTAGGGCTTCATTTCGCCAGCCACTATACGTTCAAGTGAACATTTCAGTCTCCAATCCATTTGAGAAACGAGTGGTACAGAAGTCAACTACAATTGTAACTAATAATTGCTTTTCAATTTTCAAATGAAAAACGTGTGGTCGAGATAGCTGCGGTACAAATATAACACGTATATGTACACGTCGTGTTGTAAAATTAGCACATCGAGTCGTAAAATAACGAAACGAATTGTAAATATACAACCGACCGTTGAATAATTACCACTCCCGACGACGAAGAAAAGGAATGGAATTTCTAGCTTCCCGCACGTCGCCAGGATGTCCAACAAGGACGATCGTGCTTTATATACCCTTGTCTACCATCCTAGCCTAAAATATAGTGCTCGGTCCTAAACTGCAACGACGCCCCTGAAAAAGTTGATTTTCCCATTTGGCAGCTGTACTACTGACAAGGACGCGTATCATAGCGCAGGAGATTTATTGGTTTGCCACACAGTATGAATATCTACACTGCTGCACGTCAGCACATATGACACAAGTTTGACAACCAGCGAGCTGTTGACTTCCAGTTGGACAAGCGTGCTGCTACCATCTCCGCTGGATGGCATACGCCCCGACCGTTTAGGATCAATTCTACACGCTGCTCCTGGGTGCGTCTGAAGTCTACAAAGCCAGGAGCGGAAAACAAAAATCACTCAGCTGCCTGCATATCATTATGACATGGTATCCTGAAATCAGCATGCAGCACACCACAAAACTAAGAAAGTTGAGTTGAAGCGTACCTCTGGCCTCTGTCTCCGTCTCTCTCTCTTTCACTGGCGTTGAACAGAACTTGAAGCGGTCTCCTTCCATCATCGTAGCTCTGTAGCAGCTGTGTGTTCCGTTCCTGCAAGTACAATGGAGCTGGTAGTGCTTGTGCACGCTGCGTTGAATATCATTGCAGCTATTTTCTACTTCACGGCAATGGGAATAGCCATTGATGTGGGGATTCGCGCAGACGACCTGAAAGCAGCTCTCGACATCATCGAAATGGGCCAACGTGGCTGGAAAGCGGCTTCCGCGGCAGGAACAATACTGGGAGCAGGCTTCCTGAGTACTACCTGCTGCTACTGCGCGTCCAAATCTCGTGGATGTGCAGCGATACAAGCAGGATTTACAACCATTTTTACGGTGGTTGCTATTGTCGGCGCGGCAATGTCCTCCCACCTGAAGAACGAAACGAATCAGAACGTGCATGACAAGCTGCAACCGTCGTTTAAAGCCTACGTCGGGGAGCTGAAGAGCACTGTCCTGAGTCACCATTCATCTATCAACAGCAACAGTGACCTTATGAAGAACTGGCAGTCTATGCAGACCTCATTCAGCTGCTGTGGCATCTCAGGGCCCGGCGACTACTTTGCCCACAACGTGTCCACGCCCATGGCGTGCTATGCTGGCACAGACCGTGGTACACCTGGTGCCAAGCCATTCAGCACAGGTTGCCAGTCGGCCGTCTACACTTTTCACATCTCCAAAGCCGAGCTGATGGAAGTGTTCGACTCAATCTGCTCCGTTTTCAACGGTTTGATAACCATCTCCTCTGGTGTCATAGCGTGCTCCGGGGCCAAGGGTGGAGGGAGCGGGTATCAAAAGGTTTAGAACGAGGTCTGTCTCGTTGTCCAGGAGACGACCAATCAGCGATGTTCCCGCCAAGGGCCGTATCAGAGTTTGAAGTCTCCAAGCCATCAGTGCTAAGCTGATGGCTGGTTTGCATCCTGTTGTCTCCCTTCCCTTGATATTCTTGCTCTCTTTCTAAATCCCTGGTGAATAACTGACATTCCACGTTCATATACACATGTTTTTGCAGGGATATTCAAGCTCGTGTTAAAGCTCCAGAGACTAACCATTGCTAAATTTCCCGGTCAAAACCCTGTGATTTCTATCTACATGGTAACTGCAATTAATGCTTGTAGTTAGTAATTTTCGTTTGGAGGTGACAGCGTTGTGAATTCCCAATGTTCGCGGGCCCAGGGCTGCGCAATGCCCGAAACAACAGTTGAGTGACGCGCCTGGCTTGCATAATAAAAAAGGAATAAAAATGTATTTGAAATGGGTTTGCTACCCACACTGGACCTAGCTCGCGCTATTCCGCCGACTTGACTTGACACTTGACTGACTCATGATTGCCATCCAGAGCACACGAGAAGTCTATCGGACCTTCGACTCGGTAAACGGGCAAGAAAGCGCCACTCCCTGCTCAATACACAATGTTTCGGGGAATTCACCCCTCATCAATTGTGCTTGAGCAGGCTGAGGAAGATTGTGCCTGAAGAGCACCACATACATGTACGTGTACAGTGGTCCCTCTATAATCCGGCACCATTTTGTGCCACGGAAAATCTGCTGGATTAGGGAGGGTGCTGGATTAACAAATCTGATTTTCTGCTAGCTAGAACGTGCATGAAGAGGACATTTTGGCTACTGAAAATTGTGCTGGTTTATCGAGGGTGCTGGATTATAAAGTGCTGGATTAGAGAGGGACGACTGTATAATATTATAGTGCTGTCCAGGCACAAACATCACCAGGGATACAAAATACAGAGCCGTTCCATTTCCAGCGCGACAAACACCTCGCGAACACCAGAAGCAGCATGTCGCTCCTGGACGGCCCCAGTCGTTGAGGGCCCTCGGTCATTCACAACGCTGTCACCTCCAAACGAGTTAGTCGGAAGCCCGCGCTGGGCATATCAGTACGATAATACAATCAATCATCATAGTCATAGTGGTTGCGACTTCGGCGATGATTTGTTTGAAAAGGGTTTGCTCCCCACACTGGAGCTCGCCCTATTCCGCCGACTTGACTTGACTAAAGTTATCTACTGAGTAGTCGGAATTTTTGGGTGAGTCGTTGCACCCCTACAAGTAACACGTTATAAGTTTTGAAGTACCGGTACACGTACTAGTAGAACTCAAATCTAGTCATAATTATACATGTACATGTACTTACTGTCTTTAGTCTAGAGACTACACATCTACTAGTGCGTGTAGTACTGTACATGTACGTCCGAGTACGAGTGTGACTCATTACACCACACATATATGTAAGTCATTGCTTGAAGTTGAAGTACATGTACATGTAACAGTATTATTTTTAGTTGAAGTATTAGTTAACCCTTGGCGGATTATGCCGGCATAATATTAATTTTGGCATAATCTTGGGATTTCGTCAAAAAATTATGCTCCGGCATAATTATACGGATTCCAACGTGTAAGGTCGGCGTAATCTTTCGGTTTAGACAAAAATTATGCTTAGGGGCATAATACAGCTTTGTCAGAAAGCCTGCAGATGTTTTTTTTTTAATACCCCAGTTACGACTCCTTGTCATAGCCCTTGGCGGATTATGCCGGCATAATATTTGGCATAATCTTGGGATTTCGTCCAAAAATTATGCTCCGGCATTATACGGATTCCAACGTGTAAGGTCGGCATGATCTTTCGGTTTAGACAAAAATTATGCTTAGGGCATGGCCGTGTGTATGTGTATGCGTGGTTCCTCAATCCTCTATGTACAGCGTGAATACATAGTGGAACCGAGCATAATTCAGCAAAATTCAGCATAATTATTTGTTGGCATAATTGTGGCATAATCCAAAGCATAATTTGACGATTGGCCGAGCATAGTCCGCCAATGGCTAGTTGAAGTGGTGAGTCGTTCCGTTCCCAGCCGGTTAAATAATGCTTGATGAGTACTGTACTGGTAAGTAGTAGTACTACAAGTACTACTAGTCTAGTAGTAGATCTACTGAGTACTGGTGAGTTGTCCCGTACTGAGTCTGTGTCTCTGTGATGGTCTGACTCACTGTCACGTCAGTGTCAGGCCTGCCCACTACAAAAAGGCACTAGGCATTATCATGACTGTACACTGTACAGTCGAATGTCACTTATCCGACCACCTCGGGAATCAGGCATGTAACTTGTTGGATAACTGGATATGTTGGATAACTGATATCATTTTTTATGTGCATACATGTATATGGCTGGATTTCACTGATTTATGGACACAATACCCAAATAATGAATATTCATGAATTGCTCCATGTACACATACATGTACATGTTAGCATACTTGACCGCATCTACTTCAAGTAAATGCACATTACACCGTATATACAAAAAGTTATTTTTAGAATTTTACTGTTGAGAGTCATAAAATTACCACTCCCGGGCTTGTCGGATAACTGACGTGCTCGGGTAACTGGCGACCGGATAAGTGACATTCGACTGTACTTCAAAGTACATTATGTTGACTCATTACAGTACTACACTACAGTACTACGCTACTAGTACACTATAGTATACTGGCCGCGGTCACCATGGTCACACCGAGCTCGATTCAGCCGTTCAGCCGAAAAAAAGCGCTTGTTTACGTCACTACAGTACTAGTACTACACGTAGAAATAGTAGAATCATTACACTCATTATACTAGTATGATAGGAAAAGTCTTTATGGGTTTATCGGGTGTTAGCGGCCGTCGTGAGTTCCCTTCGGGAACGGATACGATAATTTACTTTTTTTTTTTTTTTTTTTACAGGAAAAGTCTTGACTCTTGCCGTCTTGGTGCATCTGATCACCACAGACACCAGCATTACATCTCGGCAAGGAGCAAAGACAGTGAGTGCGTTCGATTACACGCGCGAATCGATTCACACATCACCCCATGTGAATTAGGCCTTGACGGATTATGCTAGCATAATTTTTCGCATAATTCTTACCAAAATCGAATAATCGCATAATTCGAGGCAAACTGCATACGAATCGCATAAAATTGTAATAATCCGCCTCTTCGCATCAAATTCCATACAGTTGT